TATTCTCCCATAGGGCGGGCCGCCTCCTGGAACCCTCAGCACCACGTGACTCGCGCCGAGCCGCTCTGTCGGCCATGTTGTCGGCAAAACACAGAGTTCAAAGGATTGCGCTACTCTGCTCCGTAGGAGCTATATAGTGCTCTAGGAAGCAAGAGCCTGGTGACTTTCGTTGTTTTTGTTTGACCGGAGAAAATCTGTCAAGTACGCATGGCGCCGCTACTGTTTTGGTTTGACGGGACGCGAGAAGCTTCGCATAGAGCTTCGGAGTTTGCGAGCACATAGTGAAGACGTGACTTGAGAAGTGCCCCTGTGATGTTCCTGGAAGACGGAAAGTACCATTCGTAATTGTCGTGTGTCCTTTCAAAGCGAAGGGAGTCACAGGGTCCACGAGTTCGCAACCACAAGCCAAGGTTCACGACAGCGCGGCGTTGACTTCGGCGATCTCGTTCTGTTTGGTGCAACCCGGCGATGCGAAAAAGAGCCGAAACGTTCGTCGTGTGTGGTGCGGTGCTTTGTATTCCGGGTCTGTTTGCACCACGCTTTTAACACGGAGCGCAAATTGTTTGTAGCGGGGTGGAGGTTCAACGGGTACAGTCCCGTCGTCGTCAGCTGATCCGGTCCAGCTGGTCCGGGAGGACGCAGCGAGCGTTTTTAAAAGTAAATCTTCCTTCGTTCCACTTCAAACTGTGGAAGTATCCCGACACATACCGTCAGTAAGAAGCAGCGGGCGTTTTCAACAAAATTACGTCGTTTTAATTGAATAATGGACTCCGGATTGTTGTCTTAAATCTGCCGTTTTTTATGCTTCGTGCTTATTTATTTATTTATTTATTTATTTATTTTACCCTCAGGGCACATGGCATTACAGAGGGGAGTGGGAACAATGGTAAACAGAATAAACAATTGGAACAAAATATACAATACTTAAGGAACAGGGAACATGAAATTGGCAATAGATGTACAAAAAAGTGCGTGATCATTAATTGATGTGAGCGATGCAGGTAAGCGATTCCAGTCTTTGGAAGTCCTGGGAATAAAAGAGTCATAATAAACGTGCAAAATGGGACACCGACTTTGTGACGATGATCAAGGCGTGCTGAAACAAAGTAGGGGGGGATGATTAGTTGGGATTTAAGCTGAGGAATATGGTGATAGATTTTATGAAAAAGACAAATACGAAAGACTGTGCGACGATGTGCGATGCTTGGGAGTAACAAATTATCTTTCATTGGTGTAACGCTTGCGGTGCGGTTATAATTAGCCATTATGAAACGTGCAGCTCTGTTCTGAATACCTTCAAGTGAATCAACGAGGTAAATAGTAGAGGGATCCCAGATGGAAGCTGCATACTCTAGCTTGGACCTAACTAGTGTTTTATAAAGAAATAGTTTTAATGATGACGGGGCGAGATAAAAGTTACGTTTGCGGAAACCAAGCATTCGATTGGCGTTGTTAGTCACATAGCTGCGTTTGCACAGCGACGCACACCACTCGAGTAAATGATTCGGTCCTGCAATGAGTTAGTTGCGCCAATCATGCGGCGTGAATAAATTAGGGCAAGGTTTCCTACCTGCCCACAGATGCATGTACTGAGACCATTTTTTACGTTGTGAACGTAGTGCTCTTTCTTTATTTTGAAAGAGGCGTTGGTGCATTTATTATGGTAAAATCACTTGAGAGTTAAGAAATTGGAGAGCGAGCAAGCTTTCCCAACTTTGTCTCTTTCTCTCTGGCACTGCCCTGTTTCAGTTTCAGTAGGCATATCTACTAGCAGGTACAAACTGCTCTAAAGCAGGTAAAAAACGGGAAGCTTAGGACGGTGCGGACTCCGTGTTTCGCGCTTTTCGCAAGGTGACAGGGTAAATGCTTTTGCGAGATATGCGGAATATGCAAGCGATTTTTTTATGCCCGTCGTTTGCGTCTCTCCAGCAAAACGAATAAGATGATCTACTACAAAGGCGCAGTCACAAGCCAAGATTTAAGATAGCAGTGCGTTTGCTTCGGTGATCCGTGTAGCTGTATTTTACCCTGCTCTCTGCAACATTGTGTCATGACGAAGAGCTGGAACGGTCACGGTTTGTGCTGGCCTCCCGGTTGACAGAAACCTGCGTCGCCCGCATCGGCACTGAGTGCGCTTGGGCTGTTGATGCTCAAGCCTTTCATCCGCGGCTTGTCGCCAGCTCATCCTGCTGCTCAACGGTGAGGAAGGGCGAGAGTAACCTCGGAAGGGAATGTAAATCCTCGTTCATTCAGTTATCCGGTGTCAAAGTGTGGAAGATGTCCAACGTCTACTGAGGGCGGGAACTGCGAGCGTTTTGCCTTGCTTTTATAACCAAAACCAGACCAACGAGATAACTGCCTTGCGTACTATAAAATGACGGAAGCAATAAGTTTCAACAGGTCGAGTACGTCACCGGGGATGTAGGCGAGACGGTGCACACTGTTTAAACGCTTGCAGTATCCACGAGTGGTACCAGGAAAGCGACGTCAACAGAGAAGGAGCTCGCGATTCAGCATAATGCACTGCTACGGGCCCGTGTATCTTCAAAGTTCGGGGTGGTGGTAGTATAAAAAAAAGACGCATCAGCGCCCCAAACCAGTGTTCACGAATAACACCGGTCACAAATTCCCAAGCCCCACCGCTCCACTCGACACCGACACGACATACGACAACAAACTGCATCAAAACGCCCCAAAAGTGAAGGCGTCTGCTCCCGTACTGCAACTAGCGGAAGTGAAGTGTTGGGCGGATGTCCGGATGTCCTTCACAGAAATATATAAAAAATGCTTTGCGCAAGGATCATTTTCATTTATTATTGTATACGTATTGACAAAATCCCAATAATTTGTTTTCCTATCTGATTCAAGCTAGTCGGACTGCTCATAACACTGGTCAAGCAAGAAAATAATAAAAATTTGAACTTTTTCATGACCGGTTTAAGATTTATTGTTAACATATCGCTACTTATTGCAACGGACTAACATTATAAATTTTGCCTCCATATTTTTTAAATGCAAACAGTTCTAACACACGGCTGTCCATTGCGCCGTGTTTTGTGTATTCTTCTATAAATCTGTAATGGTTAGCGACCAAAGAGCCCACCCGCACATGTCAAGCTTATATGCGCCGCGGGGAGAAATGGATATCGAGTAGGAAGTGTCGGGCGTAGTGTCGTTGTTGTGTTTGTGTACATGTCGGTGCTGTGTAGTGCGTGGTACTGGTGTTGCCTGCGTTGTATGTAGGGTTGCTGTATAGTTGTGGTCGTTCGCACTGTTAACAGACTCGTTTTTTTTTTTTTTAAATACAAGCTGCTAGAAATCTCGATAGGTGGCGCAAGTTACCGCCCGATTCTAAATAGTTTGCTCAAGTTATTTATCCATGTGAGTTCGGCATTCGTTTTTCTTTTTTTTTGTCTAGCGGCTCGTTGAAGCTACCGACACCGCCGACCGCCGACAACGCACGTACGTACCTTTGCAAGTAGCTACGTCCGCCGCTTGGAGACTTTACTGTGTAGAAAAGACATCGAACGAGAACTAACGCGCCCTGTGTGCTTTCAATTCGGCTGAAACGCACGCGGCTCGCTGGGCTCGTCTCTCGCCTGTTCTCGGCCGCTGGCCGCCATGTTACATAAGGAACACGCTCGAAACGTTTTTACGGAAGGCAGACACGGTGTAGCGTGTTAAGTTTACACAGCACCTCATGTGTAGACGAAAAACACAGATGGCCTCGTGTAAAACGAACACGTTTCGACGTGTCCGCTATGGGACAACGGTTTACACGTCTGGGCGTGTGATTTTTGCTAACAGTGTACAGACTCGAATATGCGAGTCTTCTGCAGTAGCGCATGCGCAGTTCGCACGGGAGGACCGATCGTATCGAATCGGATGTGTAAAAACTGTCCCCTAAAACTTCCCATCAAGCCTGACCACAGTCAACGGCGTTCAATCCGATGGAGCCAATCATGTAGCACGGAAAGTGTACCGAACTTGCGCTCGTAGTCTCTGCGTTTACTATCAGCGGCTAAGTCAGTTAAACGCAGGTAATGAGTCATGATTCTGTGTTATTTTTAGCGCGTGATTGGTTCAGCCGTTGATTGGAAACGACCATGGACGATGAGCTCCGTCACGATGCCCATTTGGTGCTGCTTGATGAACTCCATCGGGTAGTAGCCTTGGCTGCGGTCAAGCTTAACAGGGAATGCGGAGCGCAAGTTCGTCTGCTATTTGCACAGGGGTTGCGACGATGTCAGAGCGTCGAGCTCTTATTGGCTGATTGAAAAAAATATAGTGGGAAGACCTTAAAGCATTTAGCATTGAGGTCTACCCACTATCCTTCCAATCAAAGCCAGCCACAACTCGGCGTCGCTCTGACGTCACCGCAACCCCTGAGCGAGAAGCAGACAACTTGCTCTCCGCATAGATACGGTGGCACTTCAGGAATAGGTAAGACTGCAGGGATCATACGTTCTCTATACAGTACATGTGTTGCATTACAATCATTCTTATGCACGGTGGCCCAGCGTGTGTCGACAGGCAAACCCCGAGACACTTTGAGGGACACCAGGTCAGCGCTGCCAACCTGCGATTTCTCTGTTTCAAACTCAATATTTTCCAAAACATCCTTCGCCCCAGCCAGTTTTTGCAATGTTGAGGTATTTATGATAGTTGCATGATTGTATCATCCGATAAATAACCTAAAAGTTTAGCTTAATATAGTAAAATACATTAAAAACTGCTTATTTTTTACATAGAGCTTTGCGGTAGCTGGTATGCTTTAAACTAAGCTTCCCTCTAGAACGAAAACTAACAAATATCGCAAAACTAAAAGGAACACAATTTTGATAACAGGCTACAGAAAACAACACCGAGAACTACAACAAGCACAAAAAACATACGAGCCAAGTTCACAGAAATACGAACAAGCCTCTTCAGTTTTTCGCACTGCTCATGAGTTACTTAGACTAGAACATTTACTGGAGTGGTATTTATGTGATTGTTACCTCCTGAGGAACTGGATGTTTTCTTCTTGCCGCTGGAGACCGGTTTTCATCATGATCGCCTGGAAGACGCGTCGATCCAGCACCCACACCTTGGCCTTCGTCACCGCTGCGGTAGTCACAAGGTCAGTCATTTCAACGATGCACCGTTTGGGTGGAGTTTTGATTACCATTTCTTGTAAATCCTCAGGCAAAAACTGAATGATACTTTTACGACAAACAGTCTGCATTGCTGTTACTTTTAAGCTTAGTAACGCATACAATAAGTTCACATTTACCCTCCAATTATCGTTCTACAGTATCAATGTATTAGTGCGTTCCACGAGAACTGTCAGTCGTTCATCAAGAATAGGGCTTCATGGACAATGCGATTCGTCAAGTCAACTGTCAGTGACTAACTTATTTGTAACTGGGGATATTCATCAGAGTGTACATTCCACGCCCCCATTGTTGCTCAATCACCTGCATTATAAAATGCATACTTACATTTTTCAACGTGAGAACTGTGGTTGCCAACTTCTGGTGTCTGAGAAGATGTTTCCTTATACTACACCAGTGCGTATTTTTTGCTCAGGAGCGATCAGGTTGAAACACCATTGGAAGTAGTTCAGCGAACAACGAGAAAAATTGAAAACGTTAACAAAGCACAAGAATGCTTTTTGTGTCGGAAACTTAGACCACAATGAATTTCCGGATTTAGATGATTTTTGAGCCTGCTCGCTCGCTAGGCCAACTATCTAGAAGTCTGTAATGGGTACCATTTGCTGCTGAAGAACCGACATGTGTAACCGTTTTCAGGTGTACCATTTCAATGTTCGGGACACTTCGTTCGCACAGCATGCGTAGAGCCGATCAGCGCAATTCATGCATCGTGTTTATTTTGTTTATTAAATTTTAATACGAGCAATAAGAGCAAGTGACGCGAGGAACCACAAATCTGGTTTCACTGATAAAAGAAGGCGACCAGCACCGGAGACATGGGTGTAACGATTCACATGTGTGCCTGTGCATATCACAGTGGGCCTGTGCATATCAAGTTTTCAAACCAAACCGGGGGCGGTTGGGGTGTGGTCATTCTCTGGACGAGAAAACATGGGGGCTTAAATGTATTCATTAATACTCCGATTGACAGGCAAGCGGCGCGTACACCTACCTTTGACGCTGGCGGTGCGGGTGCAGTTGTAGAGGATGGCCAACTCTCCGAAGGCCTTGCCTGGACCCATTCGACCCAGCACTCGGTCTTCCTTCTCCACCTCAAGCTCACCCTCTGCAAGAAGGACACGTCGCTTCTGTAGCAGTCGCGATAATCTCTCCTACCAAACGTTTCCTTTTTAATCGCGAAGTTTTGTCGCGAGTCAAACACTGTCCATGAAAACCTCCATTCTCCAGTTGTTTTCGCGGAGGTTGCATAGATCAGTGTTGCTGACGTTTCCCACCAGCGAGGTAGTTTCCCATTTCTTTCACGTTCTTCGTGCTTCGCGATTGGCTCTTTGGTGTTCTTATTGTCAAATGTCGCGATGTTATTGGCTGCAGAGTTTTAATGATATGCCAGGAAGTCACCACACCCTACGTTTTTTTCTGAGTACATGGTGCCTTTTGAGCACGAATGACGTCAAGACAATGACTGTCTGAAAACTTATGTTATCGTTTCATCTCAATATACATCTCGAGTGTTAAAATCTATAAAGGCCGTCTTATTTTAAATCCAATTTGTTTTGTTTGTCTTTATTTTATTGTACCCTAATAAAGAGAAGGTCTCTACAAACTTGGAGAGCGCGCGCACGAAGCCGGCGAGTTTCGTTCATATGGAAAGAACTTCGCTTGTAATGACAAAAAGTAAAAAAAAAAAAAAAAAAAAATAAATTCCGTGAAATTGATATTTACGGTTAAGCACAAAAAACCTCACGTTTTGTACATTCAGTATGCCCCAGCGCAGTTTGTATTTTCTAATCCAAGCCCTTTTTGAATCTTGACATCCACCAGAATTTTTTTTGACCCTTCTATTGAGCCCCAGGGAGTCGTTTGGTGAAATAGAGTTGTGGTCCTTTTGAGAGCGCACATTCTGCCTTCTCAAAGTTTATTGCTTAAACTTTGAGAAGGCAGAGATTTCGAGTCTCTACAAATCTTCGTTATCGATCACAAAATTTTGAGCTTTTCGGATGTTTAGCATTTTTCTTTTGCTTGGTTAGATAAGAGCAGTTCGCGACTTTGGTAAAGCAGTCTTTTTATAGACAGCACAGTGAGATATAATAATCCCCCAAATTACATTAGCTTGTAAAAAAAAAAAAGAAAAAGGAAAGACATGCAGCAACTTGTAAAAAAACTACCACAACTGGAAACAGCATTGTTAACACTGCAGTCAATCACTTCAAAATTTGTTAATTCTTCGCTGTAATTACCAGGGAGCTCTCGATTCCTGCATACCTCGCGAAAGTACCGAAATGTCTGACCGAGCCTCTCGAACTGTCGTGAACGCGTACGTTCCATCTTCTGCCAAATGAGGCAGGCTAAAGGGAAACAAACATGTAAGGAAGTGCCATGTCCAGGAGGAAGGCTCCATTTACTACAATACATTTTAAAAGCTACAGTCTATGCGGGTTAAAAAGAACAGGACAAGCCCTTTCCACAAAGAACTTTTTTTGATATGACTGGTGTTTTCCTCCTCCACACTCAACTCCTCTCAATCGTTCAGCTTGCTAATTTCGAAAGAGTTAAGGGCTTTCTGGGAGGAGCAATTGTCCGGTATCCTTCACCTGGCCCAGACTACAATGAAACGGAGAATATGGTGATTTACATGTTCAAATGTTGCCATGGAATAGTTACCTGCACATATTTTTTATAAGATGTCAAAATACTTCCTTCTTTAACCCAATTAAAAAAAAATAAGTTCTTTTAGGATGTTTTGAAATGAACAAGACCGGTCGGGTCTTCGCCATTGGCAGTCCTCAAATTTGCACTAAAATATTAAGGAGAGCTAGTGGGATATGCACATTACAAATACATATCGCTTGTTCCGTCCATGTGCACTTGAACCTTTGGCTATTTGTAATAGCCGAATTCGCACTTTCGGATAAATCCAAGTTTGAACTATTTTTTTACTGGCGAGTGTTTTTCGGATTTTGGAGAATTTATCGAAACTCGCGGAACCCGAAACGTGGCATAAAAGTAAGTATAACAATGTTTCCTTTCGATTTACTTCAATTGTTCTAATTGTGGAGGGTAAGGAAGCGCGCAAGTGTGTTTAGTGATCAAATTGAAGTTCTTACGGTCTGGAAATTGTGACAATAAAAGTTAAAATGTAGTTCATCTCGCGTACGGTTCCTTGCATGCGCATTCATTGTCTCCACACAAATAAAAAAACATACGCAAGATTACTCAAATGCAAGTGTTTGTTTGCTCTATGACATCCCCCTTAACGATAATTTTTTTCAGATAAAAAACAAAAACAAAACAACATATCAAGTGTTACGTTAAAATGCAATTGATTGTTTTGGTAATCATTTTGTTTGTTACTTGTTTCGTTGCAACACTCAATTGACTTATTTTGTTTTTTCCTTGTTCCCGACTCTCACTAATAGTTTTCTTCTTAATAATCCCCAGAGCACAATGAAAGTTTGAGAAGGAAGCTGTGCAGCTGAAATGACGAAGCAAAGGCCAAGGAAGAAATGTTCGCAAATAAGGTGGCTGGAGTCAGCTATAGAGCTTGCAACAGAGCGCGCGTAAAATTGTTTTCACAGCGCCCTCTTACGTCTAAAACACTGCCGCCATAAGGACGCCTATCGAATCCGCGTGTCGCTAAGCGCGGTCGTCGCTGTCTTGCAGCACGAAACTTCCGGTATGCGGGAGAGCATGGTTTTGCTCTGGCCACATCAATGAATGGCATACACCTTTTAATCGCCACTCTCACTCATCCTTCCGTCGCCTCCCCTATATTTCGTTAAGCGCAGTTTCCGCCTTGCGTCATGCATATTTCTCAAAAGTTTCGCCGGTGGGTCTTACACATGGTGCGACTGATATGCGTAAGAAAGTATGGACCTTAACTGTGCAATATGTAAGCCGCATATACATTTATGTCCAAGGAGGAACTGAAGAGCACGCGCCATGTCCTGCTTTTCCAGAGGTTCGAAGACTGTCCGAAACGTGGCGGCATAACTTCGTAGCAGCAGCGACTCCGACAACCGCGCAAAGTGCTATTTTTACAAAAGTGAGCCTTACATAGTGTTGGCAGTAGTGTGTCAGTAGTAATAACGTTACCGATAATGCGTCACTTTTTAGTAACGTAGTATAGTATTCGTTACATTTTCAAAGCAGTAACGGATAACGTATTTACGCTACTTAATTCGAGTAACGAGTAACGTAGTTACGTTACTCCTTACATCTTCCAAAAATCACTCTTCAAGTACACTTCAAATATTATTTTTTTGATCCTAGGTGACAAGTCAAATTTTGGTACTCATCCAACGTATCTTAGAAATTATGCCTCTTTTTTTTTCCACACAAACATTCCGACTTTAGGTAATTCCTAACGTCCAAGCCCTTTGTGGCAGTGTCGGAAAACGAACAATCTCTGAACATAATACCGCCATAAATTTATGAATAATAAGTAACGCGAAAGTAGTGCGCTATTTTTTTTTATCGGGAGCGGTACCGGTAACAAGTTCTCTTTCATTTGCATAAAACGAGTAACGTATTTTGTTACTATTTATTTTTTCTTGCAACGCTTACAGCACCATAAAACCAATCTTTCTGTGAAAACGGTCATTTATAAGAAGTGCTACTTATATCGGGTGTCTCAAATATGCCAGGCTCTGTAAATCGACCGCAAAATTCGGTTTCTTAGCCTATTGTGCTACAATTTTGTGCTGGTGCACAGGTGGTGCATTTTTTAAATAAAATTGGCAAAGAACTTTAACTTACCTGAGGAAAACGTAAAGAAAGAAAAAGGCTATAGTCCTACAGAAACCCAACAATGCCACCAGTCTTCAATCAATAGGGCATCCTAATGTTTGAAGATCGGTGACTTCGCTGCGTTTTTATAGGAGTTAAGCCTTTTTCTTTGTTTTACTTTTTCCTCAGGTAAGCTCCCTCTTTGCAAATTTTATAGAAAGAATGCACCACCTGTGTGCAACGCTGCACAAAATCGTAGCGCGATAGGTTAAGAAACCGAATTTTACAGTCGATTTAAAGAGCCTGGCCACTATTTGATACACCCGGTAGAATGGTGCGATGTAGAGGTGGGAAAAGCATGCGGCACTTCTCTCAAGTTGTAATGCTTTACTGTTTTTTCATTTCCCGCGTATACCGGATGTGCGAACTATAAACGGTACAGGAGACGAGGGTAAACGAGAAAGGTCTGACGGCTAAAAAAATTCGAGGCCTGGCCTTCTATGTCCATGAGCCTTGCTTCGTAATTTGTTCTTTGACAATCCTATCGACTAATACCGCTGTAGTGTTGGCTGTGGGGAGACATTAAAATGCTAGGGACTGGCCACTGGAAACTGAAAAACAAAAACAACTAAGAGAGTAAGTAAAAAAAAGTAAGACGGACAGACAAACCGTGTTGAAAAAGGCTAATGAAACTAAGGCGGAAACCGTGAACCACGAGAAACGCCACACACTCCACTAGAGTGCACAGGTATTAAAGAATACTTCAGGAATGCCAACTCAGGTCCGTATACGGTAATTCAGGCAATGCTGCCATGCCATCTCCGCGCCCTCATGAGTAAAACCAAAAAAAAAAAAAAAAAAGAAGAAGAAGAAAAAGTTGCATGTAGAAGATTTTTGTCCTTTGACTCCGGTGTCGCTTCTTCAAAATTTCGAAATCTTCTAACTTAGGCGCACATTCACATCCATCACAATGTACAGACGAATTGTCAGGAGGTGACGATCTCATTGCAAGTCACGTTCTCGTAACATATATCACTGATACGTCGACCTGATCGGCCAGTAAACACCTCCTTAAATGGAAATCAGATTTTGTGTATGATGGCTAATTGTAAAAATAAAAATATTATAAAAAAATTCCTCGAGGGAACAAAAAGAACGAGTAGTAAGGAAGGGCAGTTCAAACGAGAGGTCATAGAACCAAGCCGTTTTGGCTTGTGGCCCTGATGCTGAGGTACAAAATCCTAAACGATGCCAAGATTATTGCCACTGATAAACTACACAAGGACGAGGAAACGTCGTCATATAATACTTTTTAGCATTATTGGGGAATGCATTTCGTCAGTCCGGACGGCCTAAACGCCCTGAACCTTAGAAATTAAA